CACCTCCACCACTACCACCCCCCTAACTACTCTACTTCTCGCTAACACCTCCAGGAATCTCAAAGACAGCAAGGATATCTGGTTCAAGTTACTCAGGAAGCTGACACTCTGGGTCATCCGATACATCAGAATCACGATTAGTCTCCTTGTCACCTCCGTTGTTGCCCTCCTCCTCCTCCCCTTCCTCCCCCTCCTCCCCCTCCTCCTCCCCCTCCTCTTCCTCCTCCTCCCCGTCCTCCTGCTCCTCCTCCCCCTCCTCTTCCTCCTCCTCCTCCTCATCATTCCGCATTGACACGTGGTCCACCTCGTCAGGTTTGTCCTCCTGACGATGTGGAGGAAAATGGTGATGGTGAGGAAGTGAGTAGGAGGAGGGGCCGGGGGGAGAGGAGCAGCAGGAGCAGAGGAGGGGGAGGAGGGGGAGGAGGGGAAGGAGGAGGAGGAGGATTAAAGGCAAGAAGAAGAAGAAGAAGAAGAAGAAGAAGAAGAAGAAGAAGAAGAAGAGGATGTGGAATGGAAGAAGAATTCACTTGGATTGAATTGAAAAAGCGGGGCCTGCATGGACAAGAAGAAGAAGAAGAGCAACCAGGAGGAGGAGGAGGAGGAGGAGGAGGAGGAGGAGGAGGTGATGATATAGTGGCCGAATTGTGGGATGCTTTTTAGATCGCTGAAATTTCAAGAAGTGGGGAAGGAGAGGAACTGGAATGGGAGGGGGAAGATCCAAGACAAGGCTATAGAAAAAAGAAGAAAAAACAATATGATGAAAATTAAGAAATGCTTGCTTTTGTTTTGTTTTGTTTTGTTTAATGCTGTCTCCGTCCTCTCCTCCTCCCCTGCTTCTCCATGTCTAACAGCGCGATCATCTCGTTCTCCTCTCCTCCTCCTCCGCACCTGCTCATCCTCCTTCATCTCAGCCTCCTCCTCTTCCTCATCTCCTCCTCCCCTGCCCTGCTTCTGCCTGTCGAACATCAGTGCATTAGAATCAGCATCATCCGTTTTCAACACCTGCCTCATGATCCTCCTCATCTTCATCATCTTCATCATCTTCATCATCGTCATCACCATCGCCATCATCGTCATCATCTCCATCACGATGACCATCATGCACTAATCCTCTCTTCTCCCCCTCCTCTCCTCCTGCTTCCTCTCCTCCTCCTTCTCCTCCTCCTTCTCCTCCTTCTCCTCCTCCTCCTCCTCTCCTCCTCGTCCTCCTCTACCCACACCCGCCTCCTTCTCAATGACGATTACTGCATTCATGCCTTGCCGCATACCTCTGACGAGACCGTACATTCACCACCCAAATACAAAGTACGGTCATTATTGCTGTATATAGACTGAAAGATACCCCAAATACAGCTATGGGGTCTCGCTCCACTACTCTAGACTTTCTAGAGCTGTCAGAGCGGAAACCCTCACGAAATTCCCGCCTTCATACTTGCACTGCCACTTTCCTAAATGAATCTGACTGCATTTCCGACCACAGCTGGATGACACCAGCGCTTTCAGCTTCTCTGAGACGAGAGTTAGATCGTACTCTCACTAGCTACATTCCAGACGTATCTTACTGGAATTACGCCCCTCCGTGGGCGTATTTTACCGCAATTCCGTCCACATCCGTTTGAATTTGAATGCATCTGCACATGCTTCAAAAGCATGTCTAAGGGCCTCGGTACCCGTTGTTCCAGGCCGCGTTAACCTCTGATCCCCGGTATTCCCACACCTGTTCACGTTTCACTGGGTTCCAGTTCCAGCCTCTATACCTTGGGAACAGATTTCCCAAAAAACTGGTCCCGCGACCTCTCTGGTCCTGGACCGTGTACTGGTCCCATTGGGCCTCTATACTGGAACGTGTACTGCTCCCGCGACCTCTCTTGTACTGGTCCCTATATACAGGACCAGAGAGGTGGCGGGACCAGTACCCAGTACCTGGATGCTTTGAGTCTGGTACTGGAACGTGTACTGGTCCCATTGTTGGGCCGTTTCCTTTTTTTATTTATTATTTATTTATTTTTTTGTCATTGGGCCTTTTTCTTGTTTTCCGGACGTTCTAGGTTTTGGGGGAAATCTGTTCCCAAACTCGTTTGTTGGGAAAATTCAAAATTGGTACGAAACTAGAGTACCTTTTTTTTCCTTCATTCCTCCCCCCCCCCCCCCCCCCCCCCCCCCCCC